CCACGATGTCTCTTGATGTTTGCAATAGTTCACAAAGTCTAGAGCGTATACTTGTATTGGTCCCTCTGTGCAAATAGATGAGGTTTCAATGTTTGACTTCCATGTACTTAAATATAATTTACTGTCCTTAGCTGCTGTGCATTTCTGTTGCGGTGGCTTATTTATTTGTTTTTTTAATCAATTGAAACTCATCAAGTCTGAATTCCCTGCCAACTGAGCTTATCTGATCCTTCCCATTTTTGACACAAGATGCCACTCTTTACTCTAAGACAGCCCTTGTGTAAATCAAAACACGTAACAAGAGCAGGTAACTGCTTTAACAGGTCATTAATTTAAGTATTGAGGACTGACAGTGTAGATCCAGATAAGAAGCTTATTGTATGCTCAAAATTTGGTAATATCATTAACAGGGAATGTCTCCTGTTTTATGGTATATTACCTCTGATTATCCCTGAAGTTTGAAATAAATGAACAAACAAATCCTACAATTAGAGTACCATTGTACCTGAAATCTCAGAAGTTCAAACTCAGAGCACTGCAGCTTGCAACGTATACCTACCGGAATGGGCATATTCCATGTGCACTCGGTTAATCTGTAGCACATTACTCTATTTCTTAATAGATACGTGAGCTGCAGCTGATATGCATAGTTCAGTAACTAAGGTTAAATTTTAAGGAAAAAAAAGTTACTCTCTTCTAAAGCATAAGTTACAAATTCAAAAAGGTGAAAGGTTTTGAGGTATTTAATTTCCTTTGCTGCCTTAAAAAAAAAAGAATAGGAAATAGAGCAAACACTAGATACATTTTATTAATCACATAGTCCAAGTCCATGCATTACATACATAGGAATGTGAAATGTCAAATGCAATTAAAAGAGTGCTTGTAAAATAAACCATTTCACCACATGAGCACATTTAAATCATAACACGGTCAGATCACTGCACTAAACATTCAAATAAGCATATGTGGCTACTTGGCTCTGTACTTATTGAAATAGAGACACTGACTTCTATGAATGGTGATGCAAGCAGACCATGTCTTCTTAGAAATGTTTATTTCTGGCTTTTGACTTTTAATATATTTTCAAAGTGGTATTTTATAACAAAGAGTGGTTGGTACGAGTGCTCCCTATACTCTCAGCGCTGTGCAGTATTTCAGATTGCTCGGTTGGTGAGGGATGTTGAATTAGTAGTTAGCACACATTCAGAAACAATGTATGCATCTTCAAAACTTAAGAAAGGAAACTTATTTAGTTCAAGACTGGGGACATCTCATGGAGGCCTTCAAGCCTATTATCACTGTAAATACATACATTATATCCTATGTATGAAGAGTTAACTTTTGTTAGAAATAACAGTGATAGGCCACATTTACTGCCTGCCTGCACTATACTAGACAATGACCAGGCTTTTACAAACAGCCTAATCCTTCCCCAAATCCTGCAAGGTTATCGTCAGTGTCCCATTTTGCAGGTAACAATCTTTCTTAGACAGGCTAGTCTACTTGCCCAATATTGTGTAATTAAGAATATGGCTGTACATAACCCAGGCCTGGGGCGGGGGGCGGGGTGGTGTACAGGCTAGAAGGGATCAATGGGGGGAAAAAGGAGACATCTGTAATCATTTCAGCAATAAAGATTTAAATTTTTTAAAATATATTTTTGTTGATTTCAGAGAGGAAGGGAGAGGGAGAGAGAGAGAAACATCAGTGATGAGAGAGAATCATTGATTGGTTGCCTCCCACACGTCCCCCCACTGGGGATCAAGCCCACACCCCAGGCATGCGCCCTTGACCAGAATTGAACCTGGGACCCTTCAGTCCGCACGCCAGTGCTCTGTCCACTGAGCCAAACCAGCTAGGGCAAAAATGTGTATTTTAAAGAATATGGTTGAATAGGGATTTCAGATTAGATAGGTTGAATGTCACAGCTGCTGTAAGCTATTCTAGTGTTAAACGTAGTGAGAATCAGACTTTGAAGTGGCATTGCATAGATATTTTCCTCACACATCTATTTTCTTCACATATCCACATTTTATTGTGTTATTCATAAGGTAATTATATTGTTAGATTTGTAATTTTATTTCTATTCTAAAATATTTATTCAGAGGTATACCCACTGAAGCAAAAAATTTAACAAAAAGAAACAAATTTCCACAAGTCTATAACTCAGATATAAACACTGATAAGAACATAGTTGTGTATTTTCTGCCAGTGGGCCAGAAAAGTGTTTAGTTATATGTAACACACAATCTCATATAAACATTAACTTAACAACTCAAATATTTATTGAGTGCCTACTATGAACCAGTGCTTAAGGATAAAGAAGTGAATCTAATAGAGAAGCATGCTTGATTTCTTACTGCATACACAGGCACACACACACATGCAAAGACATATTTATCCATAGTAGACAATAGAAATATAAAACTCAGTTCATTTTTTACTCTACCTGATATCAGTAAGAATTTTTCAAGTCAAACTATCATCAAATATAATTTTTAATAAATGTAATAAGGTAGCTAAGTGGATAGATCATGGTGCTTTTAAAACCTGGGTACAAATTGTAACTTTGCCACATATGAATTGCCTTGAACTAGTGAACTAATTTCTCTAACATGTTTCTTCAAATTTCCCATAAAAATATAAATTAGTACATATCAATAGAACTCAGAGTTCATTTTTATACTTTATATGATAACTCTATTTTTAGGTTATACTTTAATTCGTTCTTTATTTTATTATATCACTAGAAGCCCGGTGCACAAATTCATGCAACAGCGGGTCCCTCGCCCTGGCCTGCGGGATCGGGCCAAAACCAGCTTTCTGACATTCCCCGAGAAGTCCTGGATTGCAAGAGGGCACAGGCCCGGCCAAGGGATCCCACCAGTGCACGATTGGGGCTGGGGAGGGACATGGGAGGTTGGCCAGCCAGGGAGGGCTCCAGGGCATGCTCGGCCTGTCTCACTCAGTCCTGATCGGCTGAACCCCAGCAGCAAGCTAACCTATTGGTCAGAGTGTCTGCCCCCTGGTGGTCAGTGCATGTCATATCAACTGGTCGACCAGCTGACTGTCTGCCCCCTGGTGGTCAGTGCCCATCATAGCAAGCGGTTGAGTGGTCTTAGCATATCGTTAGCATATTACACTTTGATTGGTTGAACGGGTGATCTTACAACCAGACACTTAGCATATTAGGCTTTTATTATATAGGACTAGAAGCTCGATGCATGAAATTCATGCAAGAGTAGGCCTTCCTTCCCCCGACTGCCAGCACCATCTTCCCTCTGTCACCTGGGACCCAGGCTTCCCTCCAGCCACCTGCAAGCACCCGAGACCCGGGCTTCCCTCGAAGCCCCAGCTTTGTCAGGAAGGTCATCTGGAAGGATGTCTGGTCTAATTAGCATATTATGCTTTTATTATTATAGATAGTCAGTTGAATCGACCTATGTAATGCTTGAGAAGCCACTGGTCCACATGAGCACCAGGTCTGGTTATTTTGTGCTGACAGCCTTCACCCACTTCCAGTAAAATATCTGAGAATTGGTTGGCTTCTTTGGTGCAGAGACTTAGCACCTGCCCTGAGGCTCCACAGAGAAGAGGACCTGACCAGACACTGAGAGTCAGGGTCCGCAGTGGTGCTGTCCGATGCCTCCTGGTCCTGCAGCAGGTGCTGCACCCTCCCCTGCAGGAGCTGAAAGGGGGCTCCCACCCAAGGTCCCCTCTGTTCTCCTTAAGCACCAGAGTCCAAACCTCAGCTTCAGGGAGCAAAAGCAATGTTTCCCAGGACCACCTCTAAGCGTTGCATTTTTTCACAAGCCACCAGCCATTTTCCTTTGTGGTGAGTTCTTATTTAAAGGGAACTCAGCGTTATTTTCTGTTCACGTAACAGAGTGTAGCTCATCTTAGACAACCATGGATTTTACAAAAACATGGATCTGCTAGACCAGTGTGGCTCAGTGATTGTCGGCCCATGAACCAGGAGGCCAGGGTTCAATTCCCAATCAGGGCACATTCAGGCTCGATCCCCTAGTAGGGGGTGTGAAGCTGATCTCAGTGACCCTCTATCATCATTGATGTTTCTCTCTCTCTCTCTTCCCCTCTCTGAAATTAATGAAAACAAAACAAAATAAAACAAAACAAAGCATGAACCTGCACAAGACCAGGGCCAGGAGCCCAGTGTTCTCTCAGGCTGCTCCTCGGGTTCAGGGCAAGTGTGAAGAGAATCTGGAAATCATTTACTTTCCTATTTGGGCTAAAGTTTTCCTCTCCCCCATTTTACTATATTTCTTTTCTTCCCTCTCCTCCCGCTCAATGCTGTGGGATAGAATTCTCAGTATAGGTGGCTTTTAACAAACAAGAATAGCGATTGTTTTTGCTTTCAATCTGGTTTTCCCGGAGGCAAAGGAAAACAATGGTCTGACTTCTTGATTGGGGAAAAACAACAGTAGAGAAATCCTGTGATCACCATGCAAATTTCTACTTTAATAGATTACCCTTCTATCCTGACCTTTTTGGACCTCAGTCTTCTGGAGTAATGTATGCCTAGTAAGAAGAAACTTTTCATACCTTGTGTAGCTATTAACATTTGAGGGGGTAGCTGGTTTATGGAAAGGTGTGAGTATAAAATCTGATGCTATTTTACAGTAATGTTGAAAGGACAGAACAGGACTGATAGCTGTGTCCTTAACCCCTCTTCCAAGAAAAAGCCGCAGAATGTATTTGTTAATCAGCCTGCCCTTATCTCGGCCAATGGGAAAGTGGGGGAAACTAGCCCAAGGCCAAGAGTATGCTAGCTACCTCCCTGTCTTTGTGTAACCAGACCCTAACTGCACCCTGCCCTTGAGTCACTAGCCCCCTGGCCCTCACTCAACCAACAGGAGTCGGCCAAATCAGTGGTCAGAGTGTGCACCCCCCCCGCCACCCCCCCACCAAACCCAAGCCCTATAAATTCTTTGTTCTCTTGGAACTCGAGGCCCTCTAGCACCCTATCACTGCGTCGGTAGGGGAGGCAGAGGGACCAAGTCCCGGGCTTGAATAAAAGACTCTATGCTTTTGCATTGGACTCGGCTCCCTAGTGGTCTGTCTTGGGGGATTTTGAAATCTGGGCATAACAATGTCTGTATCTCCTTTAAGAAAAAGAGTCTTCTTAATTCTCCTACTTTTAGTTACCCATCTAAAAAGTTTAGCAGTTGAATTTAATACTTAGTAATTGTGCTCCCCAAGCAATGTGTAGGCAAATATTTTAGGCAGCTATGTCTCTGCCAATTTCCTGCTGCAATTTCCAACCCTACCATTCTTGATGTTACATAAAATGTAGAGAGAAGCCATTGTGTAAACACACTTTTTCAGAGCTAAAAATGAAAACTTTTGATGTACTGAAATCTCGCTTGCCCAGACTACTCTCTGAAATCAGTGAATTCTATAAATCTGCTTTCTATTAAAAAAGGTTCGGAGATTAATGGGAAGTGTACGTTATATTTTCATAATAAGTCTCATTTATTGAAACGTACAAGGTGGCTGCTAATGTGTTCAGTATCGAATCTACCTCATCTCATTTAATGCTTACAGCAACGCTGTGACATAAATATCAACATTAGGCTCTTTTTCAGTTGAGAATTCTGAAGGTTAGAAACATTAAGTAATCTACCCAAGGCTATTCGACTAACAAATGACTGAAGAATTATGGACCTGTTTCTTTTTTTTCTTTTTCTTTTTTGGGCCTGTTTTTTAATGAATGGGGATGGATTTTGTGCAAAGATGGCTGCCAGAAATTCCTCCCATCCCCGAATGCCTAAGCTGCTCCTCTCACAAAGGGGTGGACTCTGTGTCCTCTCCCCTTGAATTTTTTTTTTTTACTCTCCCCTTGAGTTTTGACTGCCCTTGTGATTTGATTTGACCAACAGAATATGTTGGAACGGATATTTTGCCAGACCCAGGCCTAGACCTAAGAGGCCTGCCAGCTTATCTTTTTTCATGTTGGACGATGGCCACCATGTAAGGAAGCCCAACTACCTTGCTGGTGAGATACCTGTGGAGAGAAAGCTGCCTTGGAGAGTGAGAGTCTAAGCAGGGAGAGAGAAGGAGGGGTCCAGCCAACTCCTGTCCATCGTAGCCTTTCAGTTGGAGATACCAGACCTATGACTGAAGTCTTATGGATCCTTCTCCCCTAGTTTACAGCCTCAACCAAACCACATAGAGCAGAGGCCAAATCGCAAAATCACAAGCAAATCAACAGCACTGGTTGTTTTAAGCTCTTTGTTTTGGGAGATCTGTTAGGCTGCAAGTGATAATGGATCCATCAATGTAAATGTCAGCCTCTTTGATGGCAAACTTTTTTATTCAATTTATTATAAAACAAATCTAATGTTTATTTTATTTAAGCAAATTAGGTGGTATTACTATTTCACGGGTAGCAAGAAAAAGTCATGGTGCAAGTGTGAGCAAAAAAACCAAGCGAAGAGTAAAAATTCTTCATTCATAGCTATGTTTGTCTGTTACTAAAACTGCCCTCATTAACATCGTCAGTGTTTATACACCCACAGTTGCCATAGAAATGTTTTCAAACAAAATCAACTTTACGTAGTGTGACTCTAAAAAGGAGTTTCTTAGTTGACTCACTTCCCATTTACTGAAAACTACCTTGTGTTTTAGGTTGTACATATACCTCAGTCATGGTCTTCATGAAAATATTACAGAAACTTAAAATACATTTAAGATCTGATATGAATTTAAGATATTTTTATATTTGATATATCACTATGAAATATTCTGATAGTTTCCTTTATATTAATTAGGAAATTGTCTTTCCATCAATCTCTATTCATTTTATATTTAAAGGTATCTTTCTAAAAATAATTTGTATACAAATTTTAATTCCATCTGATACTTCACACATACTTGCATGTTCTTCCCGAGAAAGATGATATTAAAAAATATTTAAATTATTTACTATTAAACATTTAAATACAAAAATATTTAAACTACAAAATATTTCAGAACGCACAATACATGAGTATTAGTTTCTTTTGCTGATATTATTTGGGAGCAAGTATGAAAAATTTTAAACACAATTTAGGAATATGGGGATTGTTAAATAAATAATGATAAGTCACTACACAATGAAATACTATGAAGCCATTTAAAACTTTACCCACATGGCTAAGTGAAATAATTAATATATTGCAAAGCAATATGTAATAAAATCATATGTTGTTAAAATAATATGTATAAGTATACAATTCTAAATTTGTTCTGTGATATTTAAAAATTACATAATAAATGTCTTATTTAATAAGCATGAAAAAGTCCCCATTAATGTGAGGCAAAAAGAAAAAGACATGCACACTATAATCAGAAAGACAGATATAAATCCTGTCTTTACCACTTGGTAACTTGGTATGACGTCATGATTTAGGCAATAACCTGACATACCTGAATCTGTTTCCTCATCTATAAAATGGGGGAATAAGATCTTTTTTAAAATTAGCCCAGCTGGCATGGCTCAGTGGTTGAGTGTCGACCTGTGAACCGGAAGGTCATGGTTTGATTCCCAGTCAGGGCACATGCCCGGGTTGCAGGCTCTATCACCAGAGTGGGGTGTGCAGGAGGCAGCTGATTATTGATTCTCTTTCATCATTGATGTTTCTCTCTCTCTCTGCCTCTCCCTTCCTTTCTGAAATCAATAAAACAATATATTTAAAAAGTATGATACAAGTACCGAATGATGCTCTGGAAATGGCAATTACAATTTTTAAATGAGAGCATGAGTCTAGCCCTGACATTCATCCTGTCTTCTAGCTCTGTATTGCTGTGTCTGAAGAAGGTTGCTTAGGTATCTTTTCAGCAGCTCTGAGCTTCCTCAGGGGTGTTCTTGGCATTCCAAAAAGTCCAAATCACATTTTATTAAAAGTGTAATTTAAAAAAATACATAGAGCCCATGTGCTTGTGGTTCAATTAAATGAGCACAAAGTTCAGGGGTGCCTGCTCAATGCATGTTTTCCTCAATGAGTATTGTTCAATTACAAAATCTGAAAGGTGATATACTGCAATATATTGTTAGCAATTATTGCAGGAGTTTTTGTTTGACTAAAGTACTTAGTAAACATTAATTTATTTTACTAAAATGAAATAATTATTTTTCAACCTAAGAAAGAGAAACTGATTACCAATGGAAAACTAAAAAGACTGATATAGATTTGGCAAGAGGTATCAGGTTTAAGAAAAAATAAATAAAAAGATCACTGCAATAAACACAAATGACTCACATGGACCAAACTGGTGAAAAGAAATAAAAAGAGAGCAACTTGGCCAAAACACTCACATAAGGTCATTCAATGAGAGAAGACATACTATGTGTATGTGTATGTTCTTGTCACATTGGTGCAAACAAACATAAAGAAGATATACCACTTTGTAAAAATGTATGGCATATACACATACTACCACAGAAGGAGAAATATTATGTACTTAAGCTATTTTTATACATGATTCATTCTTTCATTTTTCAGTATTCCTAAATAAGCAATTAGCCAGTGTTTACTGTATATTAAGTATATGGCATGGCTATAAGGATGCTAGTTAGCAATGTCAAAAAATCCAAAAGCTATTTTTATATGTTTTCACATATTCACTCTATATTACATAAACTAAAAGTAATCAAAGAGGATTGAGCATCCTATGAAGCAAGTTGAATAATGCTATTTATAGTAAATATTATGAAGATTGCTATAAAATTTTCAACTTTTTAAATTGGAAATTATATGGGTAGTAAGTACAAAACTATAATTTTATACTGAATATTTAAATGGGACTAGAGAGACAAGTAGATAGATTCCAGTTTTGATATGGATATAAAGAGAAACAAATGCCATTAACTAAGTGTCTCTCCCTTAAGAACTCAGATAAACCACCTGAGATCTTGTAGTAATTTTTTAAAAAAAATACTGATTTTTTTTAATCCTCACCCAAAGATATGCTAATAGATTTTTGGAGAGAGAAAAAGGGAGAGAGAGAAAGAGAGAGAGAGAGAGAGAAGAGAAACATCAATCGGTTGCCCCATATGTGCCCCAACTGGGGATGGAACCTACAACCCTTTTGTTGCATGAGACGATTCTCCAACCATCTGAGCCACCCAGCCAGGGCTTTCCATTATTTTTTATATTTTCAGCTCTGGCAATGTTTGGTGATTAAAAATGATACATTCTTACTAATATAGCAATGATATAATTTGAATTCAATTCTTAAAACAGAATAGGTTTAAGTATTTGGAATAAGGATTCAACAGTATAAACCTCTGGACTTTCTGGAGGGGGGGATTTACTGCATAATTGATTAACTCATAAAATTACAGTGTATCTTTATTTTTTTAAATATATTTTATTGATTTTTTTTTACAGAGAGGAAGGGAGAGGGATAGAGAGTTAGAGACATCGATCAGCTGCCTCCTGCACACTCCCTACTGGGGATGTGCCCATAACCAAGGTACATGCCCTTGGCCGGAATTGAACCCGGGACCCTTGAGTCCACAGGCTTAAGCTCTATCCACTGAGCCAAACCGGATAGGGCTACAGTGTATCTTTAAAACAGTATTTTTGAACAGAAAATTAGGTATAAGTTGGCTGAGATAACAATTTATCACCTCTTTTTGTATTAACACTTACCAAGAAATATGAGGGTTTTGTGTGTATTATTTTTTTTAAATCCCATTACTGCTTTTTAGCTTTTAGATCAGTTTAATTGCCATTAAGCAGAAAGTGTAAGGTAAGCTGTTAAGTAAAAATAAGTTAGCATTTGCAACCGCCTGCCTGGAGGAGTCACAGGGATTTGACAATGTGCACACCACGTAAAAGAATTCAAATGGACGCTCCGCCTGAAAAAAATCACAGCCATCTTTCTCTAACCTCTGATTTCAATTTAGTATTCACGGGCCTTCTCATTGTTCTTATTGCTGATGGACTTGTTAACAAATACATTATGAAGGCACTCAAGGAGTTCCCTGACAAAGGAGTTAGTTACACTCACGCCAAAGAGTGGGTCTGTGCTCCTGGCAGTATTCAGGCTGTGAAAAGCCAAAGCATCCCTCTGCTGAGAAATCAACGCTCAACAACTGTTTCACTTTTCAGACTCACAGCCATCCCAGTGCTCTGTAATTCTTAGCCTCAAAACCCACAGCTTTGTTTTCTGAGCGCTGCTTCATGCAGTAATCAAAGGAAGCAAATCATATGTCACCTTCTACTTACATGGCTTTACGGTTTCTATATTTTCCTAGGTTTGAATCTAGTGAGGTGGTAGCCTAACTGTGATACCTTTTAAGAAACCTTTGACTGCACTGTGCGGGGAGAGGCGCCGTTTGGAAACCAGTTTCCAGTGGGATACAGTATAAACAAGGCCTATTCTTCCTGTCTTTCATTCTCATTAGCAGGGGAAGGCTACCATCAGCTCTCGCTGCTGTGTCCAGGCTTGACAGTTCTGCGGTCATAACTCATAAAGCATTGGGATCCAGGAAATTTGTTAGACTTCAAAAATGAAAAGAATGGCATAATTTTTATTTCTTAAATAAAATAAAGTCTGATTTAGAATGCAGATGTTTCTGGCTTTGATGTCGCAATGTTCTGGGTAAGCATATTAATGAGACTCAGCTGTATTAGTTTAGCTCAGGTAGATTGGAGTTTTATGATCTTGTGAAGTTGAAAGAATAATTGTGTTCTTTTTTTATAAATGCTTTTGTGGATCATCCCCGCCCCCCCGCCCCCACAAAAAAAAATTAAAGCAGAGGTTTCTCTGTCTCAGATGGCATACTCTTTTAACATGAACAATATGGATATTGGCAATATTTATTGTAAATCTCTATCAAGGAGGACTTTCTTTTTGAAGAGGAGTTTGGTGGCAACATTTAAGTGGCTCAGAAAAGTTTAAGCAAGTAAAATAGTAGGCATATTTTCCATGGTTGGCTGTTTTCCATGCAATGGGTGTGTTTTTTTAGAACACATTCTTGGCCTTTATCGAAAAACCACAGATAGCTATAATTTGGGTTGCTTTTACAGATAATTTATGACTTTTGCACTCAACTTAATGGCCCATAAAGAACTCAAACCAGCAGTGCTAGGGCATTGCTTTAGCAGTCGAAGGATTCGGGAGGCTGAGAGGGATTTTAGAAAGGGACTTCCATGTGAGTGGAAATTTTGAATTGGACTTAGAACATTGTTCCTTGATACAAACATCATCTGTTTCAAAGTTACACCCTGGCTGCTCTGCCTCTGGCCAAAAGAAAATTGTTCATGTGTTTTAGGTAACCTCCTTTTTTAATATGCAAGCATTCGATAAAGCAGTTGTCAAGCTAGGAAAGTAAGGAGAATCTGTTTGTGACAACTCACTGGACCTAGACTGAATGTATGTATTTCGGCCATAGCAGCAGATGCCTATGACTTCTTTTCTCCACGGGTTTTAAACAGTTAACATCACCTGCTGCTGTTTGTGGCGAAACCCCACAGGAAATGAATGCCAAAGGTACAAGATGAAAGAGAAAGTAATTTTCTGGGAGGGGAGGAAGAGTAATTTTGTGCTGTGAGGTGAAAGGGTGAGAAGCCAAAAGACGTGTGAGGAATTACTTATGAAAGTGGAAATGAGGGTACAAGTTAAGGCAAGGGGAACAAATACAGGAAAAGGAAAAAGAAGAAAAAGCCTTGAGCCACAGAGAAAGAGAAAGGGACTATAGATTGAAGTATACATCTAGAAGGTGCTATTCAGAAAGTAAGTCATGTAATATATAGAGAGAGAAATATCAGAAACCTAGTAAAATATTGCATACTAACTCAATATATGCTTGATGGGAAATATTGTTAATACATTTTTATTGATTTCAGAGAAGAAGGGAGAGGGATAGAGGGACGGAAACATCAACGATGAGAGAGAATCACTGATTGGCTACCTCCTGCACACCCCACACTAGAGATCGAGCCCGCAACCCAGGGGTGTGCCCTGGCGGAGAATTGAACTGTGACTTCCTGGTTCGTAGTCGATGCTCAACCACTGAGCAATGCCAGCCGGGTGGGAACTATTTTAACAGATAAATATTCTTAGATATTTCTAATTTCTCCCTGTTATGAATAATTTTATTAATTTTCTTTTCTTTTTTTCTGGTTTTTCTTTGGAAGAATAAAGGGAATGTGTAGAGAGGATGAGCAGGAGATGCCAGGACTTCTAGAATTATTATTAGAAAGGAGATAAAGTCACAAGGATACATAGGTAGATGACAGATAGATGATAGATAGATTACAAATATGATTGTGGGCTGAATTGGGGAATAGCAAGATAGGTATTCGCAGGGGTGGGGGGTAGGTAGGCTGTGGAATTAAATGGGGAAATTATTGCTCTGTATTGTCAACTTGAAACATCAGAAGATATTTAAACAAGTTTCAATAAGCTGGTTGTTATTGAAACTATGTTTATGTGAACATAGCACTGTTTTAGGACTCGGCCTTTATAGGTGAAAATGCACACAAACCAAATATTGGCGTGTTTGTCTCATTTAAAATCGTTGTTGATAAATTTATCACTGGTGAATAGTGCAGTTCGATCCCCACTGGAGTGGGGGAGGGGGGGTGCATGCAGGAGGCAGCCAATCAGTGGTTCTCTTTCATCACTGATGTTTCTATCCCTCTCTCCCTCTCCCTTTCTCTCTGAAATAAAAGAAAAAATGAAGGTGGCAAGTGGACTGTCGTTCAGTAGTGGTAGCAGTGAGAGCAGCACCACAATATTATACTTCCGAAGAACAAAGACCATCCCTTGAAGTGTAGACATTATGCAAGCAGACTGATAACGGTGCAGCCTCTGCAGCGGAAGGCCAGATGGTAGTAAGCTTTCTGAAGCCAGTTTTGTTCTTAGAAGCAGAGGATTCAAGGCTACACAAGGGGTGATGAGGTGAGTCTCACTTTAGAGAGCAGTAAGTTTCTATGTTATCACCAAAAGGAGCAAGGCATTCAGGGAGAACTTAGAAGTGTAGCACAGGAAAATCAAGCTCATCAAATAACGAGTAACAGATATGGACCAGGCATGTCATTTGTATTGGTTTTCTATTGCTTAATGATGAGCAATGACTGTACTAGGTTTAGGAACAATATGAAAATGTAACTCTATGTAAATTAGGTTAGAGTTAGGGTTTGCAATTACTTATAAAGGAAAACAAGATACAACACTTCATTCCTATAGACAGTATGGTGATTTACCTCAAGTGTGGGCACAAGTGTGTTTGAGGTGGGTAGAAATGAAGACGCACATGGGCATTCTGAGTCTCCTGACCTGGGATGTTGGTTACCCTTTGGGTTTAGTTGTTTTTGTTGTTGTTATAATGTTCTCCATTTAAACTTTTCTCTTATAAGCATACATTTATGCAATTGGGAGTAAGTCATTAATATTCTCTAAATTGATGTTTTTCTAATTTTTAAGTAATGAATGATGCAATTATTTTAAAACCACTTCTAGAAGATGAATAAGTTAATTTATTACTATGATTCCTTCCTTCTCTACTATGTGTGAATTTAATCTCCCCCAATCTCTCTTTTCTCCCTTTAACACTTTTACCTATTAAATCATTCCTTTAACATCCAATTTATAATGCCCTTAAACATATATCTAAAATTTGTACTGCATTTAACTGTTTTCAACACACATTGTCAGCCCCATGTTTCTCATTTTTTATTTTTTTAATCTTCACTTTTAGTATATAAATCATATGAAGTAGAACTTGTTTCCATTTTGGTTCTTTTCCTCTTACTTCTTTCAAGATATATTTTATCTTGATTTTCTAAAATGTGAATATGATATATTGAGGAATGTCTTTTGTTGTTGGTGGTGGTGATGCTTTGTTATTGTCATTTGTTTGCCTTTTTTGCATTTATCCAAAAATGGGTAAGTATTGCCATTTTCACACAGTTCAGCTATTATTGACCACATAAGGATTTGAACTGAGTGCATATTCTCCCATTTCCTATACACTTGGAATTCCTGCCCCTTAATTCTTTCTACTCAGAAACACTTCCTACCACCTCCCTCAATTAGGTGAGAAAATTGTTGTATTTGTATGCCAAAAAACATAGGCAAATTCATATTGTTCTTCCCTCATGCACATTTTTTATCCATTTAAAAATAATAATGAAAGGAAAGCAGTTTTTTTTTTCTGATCCTGTGTCTAAAAATCCTCTCCATCACCTTGCAAACTGTACTTATTCCACACCCTCCTCTCCTCCATGGTGGTGAGCAGTGGCTAAACTCTGGGCTTTCTGTTTTATGATAACTTTTGTTCCTACTATCTTTGAGGTATATAATGAGGTGTTTTTTTTCAATATTTGAATACATTTTTTGGTAAAATTCCTACTTTGACATAGGAATCCTGCAGGTTTTTTAAGATGTTTTTTCTCCACCTCTGATTATTTTTCTTTTAATATCATTGCTTTTAAAATTATTTTTCTATTGGGTTCAAAACAGGGAGTACTATTTTTATCAAATATTCTGAAACTGTGACCTTTAAATCAAAGTATATGCAAGAAAACAATTTCCCACTGTAAAATGTTACTTTATCCAGTAAGTGGTGCTTAAGTATCTGCATATATACAGTGTTAAGGAAAGTAGGTAATTTGTAATTGCATTTGAAGATACTAGAGCTAAGAGTCAGATCAGATCCTGCTAATCAACTCCCAGCTTCAAAGGGCTAATGCAGCATTACCATATACTCCCTAAGAGCAGCATTTCCAGGCATCAAGGTGATATAGTGATCGCAGACACAATAGAAAGATTTCAATTAAGGGTAGCATAGCAGCACGCTACTAAAGGCACACAGCATCTCGCTAATTAAAGTACAATAAGCCCACAAAAGTCATCAAACATTATACTACCAGAGGCAAAATAGAAAACTGATGAACCAAAGCAATTGTTTTGTTTTTAAAATCAAAGTGCCAATACACTACTGACTAATGAAATAAGAATGAATACAGGTCTCTAAGGAATGAAATAGTATCAAGTATTGAAATTTTAAATCAACGCTTTAAGCAGTTGAGACGAAGTGGAAGTGGGGAGATCTGAATATGCCCCCAAGTTACAGTAGATAAATACAAATATATAATTTTATTGCATTAAAGTTAATGTGTAACATGACTGAACAAATATCCTTATCGAACATCTAATGTAAGAAAATCAGTGAGCAAACTAAATTATGCATTCTTATGCTTATCAGTGAAATAGTCTTGAAATGAAACCATGTTTAGCTTCAACATTTCTCTTTGTGCAGGAGATGTGGCGTTACATCAATGGCTGTTAGACTGAAAGCCACAGGCAAGTCAAATAAGTAAGCATAAGAGTACACAATTGTAGGAGTCAATTAAGTAAGCCAATTGAATGCTTAGGAGTATACTTTTCTAAAACAGAAATGGAAAACAATTTTTTTTTTCATTAGGAGCTATAATCACTGAATAGGCATCAACAAGTGAAGGACATTATTTTATAGATGCAATAATCAAAACCATTTTAACTTTGTGGTGATGTAATTTGGGTTTGTAGTCTGTGGTTTTAGGGCCCCATGCACATCAAAGCATGTAAGACAGGTCCAAAGCATTTTGAAGAGATATAAAGAGTATAATTAAAAATAGCATGATGGGTGCTCAAAGGAATTCTTTGAAAGATCTCAAATAAACAGGACATTAATGAGAATGCTGTAATAATGGGCTATGATTCTCAGTTGTATAATGTGAATTACAACATATAATTATAGCATTTACAATCCAAGTTATGAAATCAGCTAGTACGAATGGCCAATGTCCACACATGCTGTTGCTAATGGCTGGCAAATACACACAGCAATCACTGTGGTTTAATAGAACTCCAGTTCTCATCTTTTATCTTTGAAAGCCAATTCATTGAAATCTAGCATTTGAGCTAATCCTTCCACAAAGTGTTTAAACAAGCAAATTTGGGGCATTTTCACAATATTTTTATATGAAAGAAGGAAGACACATATTGTATCAATGAAGATATCCAAGCAATCACTGTCACTATGGAGTAATTACATATGATTGTTCCCAGTCCTATCAAATATCAAAAGTTGTCAATTCATTCAGCCAATGTTGGGAGATACATATTCACAGGTCATAGGGATATCTTAGATTTATCAACCCTTGTGAACTGGAAAGGCACTGTTGATTTTGCAAAATGAAAAACAAAATACAAAGAGAAGTAGTCTACCTCCAATGTTATTATCTACACATATATATTACCATTAATTGAGAGACATCTTCACCAGATAGGAGAAACCAACAATAAATTGGTATTTGTTTCAAATTGGCGTTCACATAGACGGTTTATATATCTATATGTTTGCTTAAAAAAAAAACAACAAAAAAACTAGAGCCTGAAAGGCAGGATTCAAAGGAACCTGCTATTCTGAACACGTACAAAGGAAGTGGTTTCCTTAGCAACAGGAAATAGGTGCCAGCTCTCAGGAGCGATCCTTCCACCCATGCCCCTTTTGAGTTTGGTAATGTTTCCAAGCTCAAGTAGGAAAGAGAGACTGAATGTATCATGTAGAAACAATACTGCTAGTTAGGGACCCTTTGAAGAGCTGATGAGCTGGAGAATCCCTTGTTTACGCTTGTTGGCATGACAGTGGTAGCCATCCTAGAG